AATAGCACGAACCATTGAGAATGGTGTCATCTACAATACTTTCTACAGAAGGACCATTGAGAATGGTGTCATCTACAATACTTTCTAGAAGAGGACCTTTGAGAATGGTGTCATCTACAATACTTTCTAGAAGAGGACCTTTGAAAATGGTGTCATCTACAATACTTTCGACAACAGATACATTGAGAATAATGTCATATACAATACTTACAACAGCTGGAACATTGAGAGTGGTGACGACATCATCTAAAGAACCGTTTGTGAGATCCGGTTGGAAATGCCAACTCTTTATCTGTCGATAGGAGACTGTTCCGTTGTCATTCCAAGTAAGGTTTACCTTTACGCGATGTTCCCTGGTAAGTAAACAGATATTTACAAAAGAGGTACAATAAATGTAAACATGAAAATTAGTTTAAAACCGAAAATAACACAGTAAAATACGTTCATTAACAGAAATGAAGAAAAAATGACTTACTACACTCTAGTCACAGGACTTTTACTGTTTATTAATTTACATCTTACGTGAAATAATGACTTTCGTTAACTTATTTACGAACCGCTAGATAGCTTACAGATTAAGTCTAAAACATTAAACAGTCAAACGAATGAAATATGAAAGTCTGTGTTGTTTTAGTATAAAGCTACAGAACGAGCTATAAGCGGTCTGTCCACCGCGGAGAATCAAACTCCAGAATTTAGCGTTGTAACCCGTAAACTTAACCTCTGACCCATCGCGAAACAGATGTGAAGATACCCTGAGTTTTTTTTACACTTATAATGTTTACGTTGTCATTGTAATTGGAACTGAAATATTTGTCTTTTTAGTTCCGCAACTGAGCGACAAAGTATATACCTAACTCTACCCTTGGTGAAAGCCCGACAGATCCGGTGAAAGTCTACATGTAAAAGTGAACTCTCAGTCTATAATGGGCTTTCTTTTTGAAGCTCTTTTAATGCACTTTAAATGTCTTACCTTAAAGGTTTTGTAGGTTATTTTAAGCAGATTGCACTCCTCCGTCTTTTTCTTTTTCGTTCGAAAACGCGGAAAACACACAAATTTGCTAAAAATGAGCAAAATCTCTTCAAGGATTTTCATTAATATTCATTAGCCAAGCAAATTGTTGTAAAACAGGGGAATTGATCCGAAGTGAGGAGATGTAGCAGTCGAGTCGAGAAACTTGGACGAAATGGCAAAGCAGTTGTGTTATTTCTTGTTCACAGCAGCCCATTTCACAGTGGAGATGTGATCAAGATTTCTACTGTCCAAGCTTGGCACATTTAATGCATTAAATTAAATAATAAACTTGAATTTTACATCTAAGGTAAACTATATTCTACATTAAGAAGTAAGAAATATCCTAAAATATTTTATTTATGAAATACTTTTTAATTCAGGCTAAGGTGCTTATTTTAACCCTAGTATACAACGGAATTTAAATGAGGTGAATCAGAAAAAAGCGAGAAACTTAAATAGCAGCAACATCTTTATTCTCCACATTGTAGCTGGATATTTTATTACTGTATAATTTAGTTATTGTAGGAAACAAGCCAAAATGGTAGAAATTTTATTTACAATCTTTGGTTTATAGAATTGTTTTGTGGTGTGAGTTTTTTTAAACTCAACTATTGACAGAAGCTACTGCCGAACGATATGGGGGTTTACATTTGGACTAATAAGTTAGTACATCAACTCGTTTAGGACGAGATGCATCCACAGACAGACAGAAAGTTTATCTTTATATTGAATACTTACTGCACCGGTATGGCTTAGTATGTATAGCGCATATGTGAATAACACCTGCACTCTGATTTTTATACTCGGTTCTGATGAGCAAACAGAGGCAGATCTGGATAAACTCTTACTTACTATAAAACATCACCTTAATTTTTTAAAGATATGAAACAAAAACAGTAAAAAAATGATAGTTTTTAAAAGATTGTCTTGACACTATAGCTTGACTTACTTGACTTATTCCCCTTAGTTCCAATTGGAACATAGGGACACTACTGTTCCACACCATTGGACCCGACTTTCGGCCATCCTCAGCTGAGCCCACGAGAGTCCAGCGGCCTTAATCTCCAGGTCATTTTTGGTTTCCTCACTTTCCTTTTTCCCTGTGTGTTCCAGTGCCTGTCTTGTCACATTGGTATGAGGCTTCCTTAGCGTGTGACCAATCCAACCCCATTTCATCTTCGCAGTTTCTTCTTGGACAGGCAGCTGATGTGTCTGCTCCCATAGGCCAGCGTTAGAGATGACACCAGGCCATCTAATGTGCAGGATGTTGCAGAAACATATGTTGACAAAGGTCTAAGTCTTGGCTATGATAGTGTTGGTGACTCGCCATGTCTCTGGGCCATAAATGACGAGTTCACTTTGGTGTTGAACAATCTGACTTTGGTCTTCTGCGAAAGAGATGATGAGGTCCATATAGAGATTTAAGGTAAATCTGGCTTTGTTGATTTGTGAGCTGACGTAACTGTCTGTGCCTCCATTCTTTGAGATGACACTTCCGAGGAACACAAACTTGTTAATTCTTCTATATTATCTCCATTGAGCTGCATTGAGTCCTTTGGCTGTTGTTCATTTTCATTATCTTTGTCTTGTTAACATTTACGCGTAGCCCAGTTTTTGCAGCTTTCTCATTAAGTTGTTGAGTCTTGGAATGTATGTTCTGCTGCCTATGTTACAGGAGGCATAGATCATCTGCAAGGCAAAGGTCTTCCAGGTGCTTCATGAATGTCCATTGGATGCCTGTATTTGTGCTGTTGGTAGTTTGCCTCATCACCCAGTCAATCAAAAACAGGAAGATTATGGGTGAAAGAAAACATCCATGCCTGACACCGGTCTGAACCGTGAAGGGCTCTGAGAGTTCTATGTTGTGTGTGTGATCTTGCATGTTGACTGCTTTTCCAGTTGTCAGGAGTTTGAGTGCCTTCGTAATCTCTTCCTTTGTTGGGGGTTCGTGTTAATATTCAGAGGCTCAGCTACTGGTGTGATGGTTGGGCATTGTGTAGGGGATCTCTGTTGAGAATCTCTTTGTAGTGCTCAATCCTTCTAGCTCGATGGTCTGTTTCTTTGCTAATAGTTCGTCCATATTTGTCCTTTACAGGCCTGTCCTGATTGGAGTTATTTCTCGATAGTGTTCAGGTGATGTTGTACAACGTCTTTATATCCTTTTTCCCTGCTGCTGTCTCTGCTTCCTCTGTGAGAGCTTCAATGAAGGCTCTCTTGTCTCGCCTGGTGTTCTTCGTTACTTCTCTGTTGAAGTTTCAGTATTCTGCCCGTAAATATTGTTTCTTCTCCTGGTTTTTAGAGGTACTTTCTTGCTTGAATAAGGTCCCATGATGCTTGTGAGAGACATTCCCTGTATTGTGTCTTCTTTTTGCCTAGTACTTCAGGTTTCCTGGAGTTTGGCCGAGTGGTCCTCGATGGTTTCTTCGATGAGGTCACCAAGAGTTCAAACTTGTTCTTCAGCTGGCATTGGAGCTGATATACTGTATTTCTTGCCCTGCGATTCTGCACATTGTACTTATTGTGCAGTCTATCTTTTCCGTCCTTGAAAGCTTTCAGCTTTACTCGAACTGCTTCAAAGAGAAGGTGATGACCTGATCCTGCATCCGCACCTGTTTTCACTCTCAAGTCTAGAAGGCTGTGTTCTGGCGATGGTGATGTAGTCAATTTGGTTCTCTGTGTGTCCATCAGGTGAGTTCTAATGTGGCTTTATGTATTGATTTCCGGGGGAAAATTATTCCTGCAATCACAAAGTCGTTGAATGCGCAGAAATTTGCAAAGTGCTCACCGTTCTCATTCACGGCTCCAAGCTCATTCCGTTCCATAATCAGTTCATAATCGTGGTTGTCAGCTGTCATTATAGCTAAGGACATTTAATTATTTTGAGGAGAATGTTTGTTTGCTGTTAAGCACACAGTTACACAACAGGCTATCTGTGCTGTGCCCACCACGAGTATCGAAACACATTTTTTATAGTTGTGAGCCCCCCGCCTTACCATGTGACATTTGGGGAGTGGGATAACTAAAAATGTGTGAACATCGTTATATAACACTATCTGACCAAAACAGGGATGATTATGAGTAGATGTTAAGGTTTTGTTTGTTCGTGTGCTTGTTGTTAAGCACAAACCACACAACGGGCTATCTGTGCTCTGCTCATGGCGGGTATCAAAACCCAATTTGTAGCGCTATAAATCCTTAGACTTACCGCTGAGTCACTAGGGTGGCTAGATGTTAAGGAAACAATAAACTATATTACAGACATATTCAATTAATTTCCGTTGGTCTGTTTTGAAATAGCTTAATTATACAGACAATTTTTCTGTTTTTGTTGAATTTAAAATTTTCGCGCTAAGCTATACAAGGGCTATTTGTGAATAGCCGTCCCTAATTTTGTGCTGCCAGACAAGTGAATGCAGTTAGTGAACAGCACCAAGCGCCATCTCTTGAGCTACTTTTATCTGACCGAGTATTGGGATTTGGCCATCACTCTTATAGCGAACTGACGTCCCCAAAGTGCGGAACGTTTTTTGCGACAACAAGAGCAAAACATGAGCACTCGAATTCATAGTTTGAGTTCGTTAGCTGATAGGCTACGCCCGGTCTTTTAAGGTTTTAAGTATGCAGTGAAAAATAAATCTCATTGATGTACAATAATGCTCTTAACGTATTCTTTAGTAAATGCGAGTTTAAATCGTTTTAACTTGCTGTAACAAGCACGGGCTAGACGCATTTCAGACAGTACTGTTTTTAAAATTGTTTAGATTGTTTAAAAACGAAATTTTATATGTATAACTTCATTGCTAGGAAATTGTATCGTTTGAAGTATCTGTTTATTTGCGTATTTCTGTTCCTAACCAAAACGTGAATTTCAGTAAAAAAAGAACAACCTACAGGTCTAATCTATGCTTTGATTGACCAGTTTCCCTGAATTACCAGCTCATAAGTGCTGCTTGGAGAAAACACACAAAGTAATTCTCCGATGAGTGTCTCTCAAACATGGAAACTTCCTTCCTACTTATATGTGTCGTTCTGTTTTCTTTTCTTAAACACGAACAGGTGCAGTTTAGGACAATATATACACATACACTTTGAATTGTTTTTTAAATATATATATATATTAAAAATTAAACGATTCAAGTATTTTGACTTTCTTGTTCCTTGACATAAAGAATGAAATGAAGGTGTACATTTGAATATCCACAAATTTTCCATATTCAAGTTTCGTATTATATAATGTCATTGTTCTTTGTACTTGCATTATGTATACAAAGTACAATGACATTATATAATATGAAACCGATTTTTTCCGCTTGTCATCTCAAACTTATCAGTTTCTCAGTGCTTATTTCATGAAAAGCGTTCGACCTTTTACCAAACACGTTTACGTTTTTATATATCCCGTAATTTAAACCTCTGCATGTTCTCTTATCAGTTCAAACTGAAATTTAAACCAGTTCATATGATATTTCTCTCCCAGCATTGTGTTCCATTTTATGTCTGATATCTGTTTTCGACGACACTAAAATACACATATCAATGAAACTTGCTACAGAACACGTTACATGTAAGCTGTAGCTGCTTAAGCAATGTTTTCCATGAGCTCATGACTTTTGGTTTTGAATTTCGCGTAGAGCTACACGAGGGATATCTGCTCTAGCCGTCCCTAAATTAGCATTGAAAGACTAGAGGAAAATCAGCTAGTCATCAACAACCACCGCCAACTCTTGGGCTACTCTTTTACCAACGAATAGTGGGATTGAATGCAACATTATGACACCCCCACGGCTAAAGGGGTGAGCATGTTTGGTGGGACGGGGATTCGAAGCCCGAGGTCTCGAGGAGATATCCGCATTAGTATAATGGCAATCAACCTCCTCTGTAAAATGCACAGAAAAACAAAAGTGGACATGCAAGTTTTGTCGTGTTATATAATCATTTCCAGGTGCCCCTAGTGTAAGACAACTATATCCTTGATAAGATGAAGGACGCTTATGTAACGAAATGACTTTAAGATGGTTAGTCAAAAACAGATTTTATCATTAAAGGGCGTTGACAATTAAATTCTAAATTCTTATGGAAATTAAGCAAAAAAAAAAAGCAATAACTACTTAAGTAAGAAAAAAGCATTCCTTGAATAAACTTTGTGATAATAAAATCTAATTTTCATTACATTTATTAATGTTTGTTTGTTTTGTTTTTGAATTGCAGGCAAAGCTACACGAGGGCTATCTGCGCTAGCCGTCCCTAATTTAGTAGTGTAAGACTAG